TTTGGCACGTCCTTTTTCAAGTATGGTTTTCATAGCCTTTGCAACATCTTTACCAGTTTTTTGTTTGACTGCCTCATAGCAAGCGTACTTGGAAAAGCAGTCAATAGCGCACAAGATATACTTGTAATTTTTATTTTCTCATTGATATGGTATCATTTCAACAAGATCGATTTACCATGTCTCGTCAATATCATGAATGTCAAATGATCTTCTTAAATAATTACGACGAGCTGGCTTATGAAGCTCATCTACAGCTGTTTTATACTTGTTGTTCATTTTTTTCAAACGCAAAAGTTTTTCTTCAATAGCATTTAATTTTAAATTCAGTGATGAAATATTCTTATTAATAGTTAACAATTTTTGTTCGATATCAGTGTACGAGGTGTGTTCAAAAAGTAACGAGAATTTTTTAATTTCGCGGGTTTGGAGAGTCCGCTTGTATAAAATTTTTTTTTATTATGTTGGTACACATGCCCCTGAAGTACGATAAAATTTTCAGCAATATTCATTGCTTACTTTTTAAGTGGCAGCCGCTAACGTTAGACGTGTTTTTCGAGCTCGGCGATTTTCGTTTGTGAAAAAAAATGGATCAAAGAATTTGTATTAAATTTTGCGTAAAAAATGAAATAAAGTGTAGTAAAGTTTGTCAAATGTTAACAAAGGCATATAGTGAGTCTGCTATGAGTAAAGCAAGGATTTATGAGTGGTATAAGCGTTTCCAAGATGGCCACGAAAACGTTGAAGATGACGAACGACCCGGACGCCCAAGCACATCAACAACCGATGAAAACGTGAAAAAAGTGAAAGAAATGGTTATGAACGATCGCCGAATCACAATCAGAGAAGTCGTCGATGATGTTGGCATATCAGTTGGCTCATGCCATCAAATTTTTTCGAATGTTTTGGGTATGAAACGTGTGGCAGCAAAATTCGTTCCAAAATTGTTGAATTTCGAACAAAAACAGCGGCGAATGGAAGTTGCTCAGGAGTCTCTAAATAAAGTCAATAACGATGCAGAACTACTAAAACGTGTTATAACAGGTGACGAAACATGGGTTTACGGATATGATGTCGAAACTAAGGCTCAATCGTCCCAGTGGAGGCATTCTGGATCGCCAAGACCGAAAAAGGCTCGACAAGTGCGGTTGAATGTGAAGGTTATGCTCACTGTGTTCTTCGTTTTAATGGCATAGTGCATTATGAATTCTTGCCACAAGGTCAAACAATCAATAAGCAGTACTACTTACAAGTTCAACGTCGTTTGCGTGAAGCAATCCGAAAAAAACGCCCGGATTTGTAGCAAAACAATTCATGGCTTTTGCACCACGATAATGCGCCTGCTCACACTTCATTGCTTGTTCGTGAATTTTTGGCCAAAAACGAAACTGTAACGATGCCTCAGCCTCCATATTCGCCAGATATGGCTCCATGTGACTTTTTTCTATTTCCAAAAATAAAGAGAACATTAAAAGGCCGTCGTTTTACAAGCATAGATGACATTAAAAGCGAATCGCTGAAAGAGCTAAAAGCTATTACAAAGATCGAGTTTCAAAAGTGTTTCGAGGATTGGGAAAAGCGTTGGCATAAGTGTATTGTATCCGAAGGGGACTACTTTGAAGGCGACAACATTAATGTAGATGAATAAATAAATATTTTTTTCATAAAACGAAAATTCTCGTTATTTTTTGAACACACCTCGTATATCAACTGATTATTTGAACTTATTTCTTCCACTTCTCGCTTCTGAGCATTAATAACGAGGAAAAATTTTTCCAACTCGTCACTGATAACTTTTCACAAAACATTAAGATTGACAGCGTCTTGAATGTCTGCAACATCAGCAACTATGCAGAGTCTCTTATTTTCTATGTCAAACTGACCATCATCGGTCAATTTGAATCCCAAGCCAGGTGGACCCTGAGCGGTAACAGTGGAAAGTGATTTTAATTGACATCCAAAGAGATCAATGCTCTTGATGATAATGAACTTAAAAGCTAACTAATACTATTAATATATAATTTCAGCTTCTCTTAATTCTTCGATTATAGACTAAATTTCATTCACATGATTTTGATTGCCTGCCTATGTCTCTGCAATTAATAATCTAAGACGTTCTACAAGCTCATTGGGATCATTCCAATATATATAATCAGTAAGATTATTAGGCCGTGCAATTTTATAAGGTGACTTCAAAGAAAACCCTCTGCCACTTGGTGAATTATAAGGTGTAACTCTGATCAACTGAGATATAATATCTCGAAATTTTTCACTTGATTGATAGCGTATTTCCTCGTCAGGTTTGTAATGCTTTTTATATGCATTCGTTTTATTTATAATACGGCCGTAGGTACCTAAATCGTCTTGAGTTACAATGGAGCTATCAGGCTTTTTTTTGAATAATAGTTCAATCAATCCAGAGCTTTTTTCATAAGTATCTTTCCCTATAATAATTTTATTATTTTCAAAATTCACTGACCTATCAACAATCTTAAGAGTACCATCTTTATTTTGACGTAATCCACAGATAGTATCTAATGTTGCTACTTGATTTTTCCGCAACATTGATAAATACTTATTAAGTGAATCATTTTCAGGAGTATGAAATACATCAACATCATTATTTTTCAATTGTTCATTAGCATTCAATGCTTCTTCCAATCCACTATCATATAATTTTTCAAATGGTTTTTCCTCTTTTTTAGATAATTCTCGTATGTCATAGCTATCTTTTTCTTCTTTTTTAGGTTGCAATAATTTTTTACGTTTGGTTTTTCTCTGCTGACTAAGTGTTGTTTCATCAACCAACTTTTCAAGTGATTTAATCACAGGCTTGAAAGTCTCTTTGACAAATTTTTCAGTTGCTAATTTGTCAGAATTCAACAAATTATTTTTATGTTTTATGGCTTTCCGAGCTTTTTCCACTTGATAAAGAATACCAATCCGTTAACCTAACTCAGTCATGTTGTCTATTTGCAATCTTGTTGCCTACCGTCGGTTTTATGTTGAGTGATTCGCATTTATAATGAACTTATCAAAACCTTTTCTGAATCTACCAGCATCTATTTTTCGATCCTTGTCAATTAGAAGAAAGCTGTAATCTTCTTTCCAACACGAAAAACAAATTTCTTTAAAACATTGGTATGGCATATCAGTATTCACATGATCATTATACATATGTTTTAAATTCATATCACCTTGACGGAAAATTATTAAAAAATTCACGTTATCTCTCACTAAGTGATTGGGTACTTGAGCATATGATGGACATAAATAAAAGCAATCAACATTTCTATGTCTTCCCATACAATAAAAAGCTTTCACATTATCTTGCTTCTCACAAGCAATGTCATCAAAAATCATAATAGAATTTGGACGTGCTTCGTCTGGTGATACAACGAGATCATGCTCGCTAAAAGGTAAGTAGTCAACACCTTTGATGGGTTCAAGAAGTTGCTCAAGAAATTTGTATTTTGGTTGATTAAGCGACTTAGAATATATGTAAATATTTTCAAACTTTACACCATTAGGATGGGTTAAATGAGCTAAGAGCGCATTCGTCTTACCACAATTAGATGCATCACAGCATACTGCACGTATGCTGTCGGGAAATAGATCCCCATGTCTTTTACTTTCCTTTTCACTTTTGTCTGTCAACGCGTCAAAATTTATCACAGGAAGCTTGAGAGACTGTTCCTCTACATCCATTTCACTTTAAACTTTGAATCACAACTGACAATCGATGCTATAAAAGAGTGTATTTATAAGTTACGCATTCACTACTAAACACTCGACCATGATCGTCTACGAGAGAAAAAAGAAAAGGAAGACTGGTAGAGGTTTAGTAAATAACTTGATAAATAATCTACCCTTTGAGGCTCACATACCAGGTTATCAATATTGCGGACCTGCTACAAAACTATATAAGCGATTAAATCGAGGAGACCCTGGCATTAATCCTCTGAACGCTGCATGTAAAGATCACGACATTGCTTACTCTAAAAATAAGGATATTCAAGCATGAAACATTGCAGACAAAGTATTGGCTGAAAAAGCTTGGCAACGTGTACATAGTTCTGACGCTAACTTAAGTGAAAGAGCTGCAGCATATGCCGTTACAAACATCATGAAAGTAAAATCAATGTTCGGAATGGACCTTAGCAAGAAGCGTTCTAAGAAAAGGAAGACTTCGTCGAAAAAAAATTCTAAAAAAAGAAAGACTTTAACAATGAAAAAACTTATCAGCATGACAAAAAAATGTGTAACTCCTAATAATCATTCGAAAATTGTAATCAAGAGTGCTTTAAACGCAGCACGAAAAACCATAAAAAATGTTGGTGGAAAGAAAAATATTAATTTACCAAGAATACTTCTAATCCCTAAAGTTGGAGGTTTCCTACCAGCACTCGTTCCTGTTTTCGCGGGACTTAGCGCACTTGGATCTTTGGCAGGTGATGCAGGAGGAATAGCACAGGCTGTAAACCGAGCGAACGCTGCTAAAAAACAATTTGAAGAACAGTCGAGGCATAACAAACGTGTTGAAGCTTTAGCTCTTGGTAAAGGTTTATATTTGAGACCATATCAAAAAGGTTTTGGTTTAGCCCTCAGTACAAATAGTAAAGTCAAGAAGCCTAAAAATAAAGTTATTAAGAAAAAAAAATTACAAAGACATTAAAAAAAACTTTGATTTAAAACTGCCACGTCGTCCTTTAACAGATTACGATATAAAAAAGTATGCTCATGAATTACGAATTCCAAACATTCGTAGTGTTTTTATGAGAAACTCCCTACCCACGCGACCACGCGTCAACGAGTGTGCAGTTGTAAACCTTGATGATAATTCTGGACCAGGTACACATTGGGTGGCATGCAGAAAAAATGGTAAAAATGTCTTCTAGTTTGATAGTTTTTGTGATTTACGACCACCTCTAGACTTCTTGAAATATTTCAAAGTTGATCAAATCAAGTACAATTATAACAAATATCAAAATTATAATACTTACACCTGTGGCCATTTATGTTTAAAATTTTTATGTAATTTGTTAGAACATCATGACAATTATCATTTGTATAAATAGTAAGAATTGCGGATAAATAATTCAGGTGTGTATAATCACTCGACATGGTTGAATCATTGACCCTCAGTTTGTCTGGTACATCATCTGTATTAGAAACATACTATTTTCCACCTATAGAACTAGATAAGGATAAAACTTATACTCTTGGTTTGTAGAATTACTTACATTTAATTTGATACCAAATATTTACGTCGGACACAATAAATTCAAAGTTGGTGAAATTGAAATTGAACTATCTACAGGTAAATATGAAATTGGTAACATAGGTCGATATTTGAAAGAAAAATTAAAGTCAACAGATATAAAAATTGAAATAAAACCTAATAACAATACTTTACGCAGTGAAATAATTTGCAATGAACTTGTTGATTTTCGACCAACTAACTCTATAGGACGTTTATTAGGTTTCACTAAACGATTGTTGCCAACCAATATAAATAATGTCTCCGACGTGCCTGTAACCATTCTCAAAGTAAACGCTCTACGCATTGAATGTAATATAACATCTGGAGCTCATATTAATCAAAATAGAGGTCATATCATTCATGAATTCTTTCCAGCTGTACCACCAGGATATAAGATCATTGAAGTTCCTAAACAGATTATATATTTACCTCTAACTGTCAGAGTTATTGATCATTTACAGCTACGACTAATTAACCAAGACAGTAATTTAATAAACTTTCGTGGAGAAGTAATCACGATTCGTTTACATATAAAGACAGTATAATGGGAATAGTTTATAATGCTAAAGTAGGGAGTGGCTATATAACAACATCATTATGCGCTCAAAAAGTCAGTCATCGATGGATAGTCAGAGGTCTAACACGTCGAAACATTCAGTTCCTAAAAAGTCTCGGGCTGAAGATTGTTCGAGACGTCGCAACAAAAAGAAGAAAAAGAAACGTCAACAGTTTAAAAAATTACCTGTATATTTGTATGCTGTTGTCATATCAAAGATGGAAGAAATACTTAGTGTGCAAGCATCTATCATCTTTGATGAATCTATAGCTTATTATGAAGTTCATGCACATCAACCTTACAATTCACAAACATTTAACAATAGCGATGAAATTCGTATATTGATACAACATCAAGATTTATGTCTCTTACCATCGAAAAGTTCTCTACACATTGTAGGAAAAATTAGAAGACGTGATGGTAATGCTGTTACTGGAACAAAGTTCGTAAATAATGCTATATGCCATCTATTCGAAGATATCCACTATGAAATTAATGCCATTGAGATAGACAGATGTAAAAATGTTGGATTGACGAGTACTATGAAAAGTTTGATTTCATTGAATCAAAATCAAAGTGCATTCCTCGAAAATGCCGGATGGCTTGATATTGAAGAAACTAAGACAATAATTGACAACAATGGTTACTTTGATGTGTCGATACCACTTTCCATGATTTTAGGATTCGCTGAAGACTATCACAAAATTGTTGTGAATGTAAAGCATGTAAGCAACTAATTCTTACCCGATCAAGAGATAATTTAAACGCCGTCATACAAAACTTGGTGAGAATTGATGATACTGAGCAGTATGAACCTTTTAAAATAGAACTCATACGAATCGAATGGTTGATGTCTTATGTAATTACGTCAGATAAGTGTAAAATACAGTTATTCAATTTCATTCAAAAAGATATTCCTATTTCTACGAGTTTTCGATCGCGGGAACTTTATGAGTATCCAGTATTACCACAAACGTCAAAACATTTTTGGACAGTAAAAACATCCAATCAATTAGAAAAACCAAGATATATTATATTAGGTTTTCAAACAAAACGCAAGTCTGATCAAACTAAAAATCCCAGCAGATTTGAATGAAAATGTTAAACTTTTTCTCAATTCTTAGCAATATCCGTATGGAAATTTAAATCTTGATATAAGTAATAATCAATATTCTATGTTATATGACATGTATGCTAATTTTCAAGTGAACTATTACAACAGAGACTGTATGTACAATCCACTTTTAAATAGAAAACAATTTATTACGCATGCACCTCTAATAGTAATAGATTATTCTAAGCAAAATGAATCATTGAAACAAGCTGCTGTAGATGTACGTCTAGAGTTTGAAACAAAAAATGACATATCTGCGGAAACAGCTGCATATTATTTAATTTTACACGATCGTATAGTTAAGTATAATCCAATAAGTGGTAACATTATAAAACTTGTATAAGTATTATATTATAATATAATAAACATGTATGCTTTTTTTATCAAATAAAGGTGTTTTAAAAATTTTAAACGTATTCAATATTTTTAATAATAATAATAAACCCCACCTCATTCCATGAGATATACTGACTGAGCGCGTCATACCTGTATGCCACCGTCGATAATTTTTCCCATTTAATCATATATCTTTTTTTCCATCAATCTGACACATCATCGATCGATCATCGGGAGGGGGCCATGGGACCTGTGGAGGGACATCATCCATGTCGATAACTATCGACCGGCCGAGCATACACACACACATGCACATGCACGGTCGGCTACAATGCAAACCGTCGATACAAAGTCGGCCGATAAAACATTTCAGTGACCGGTAATGCAGGATTAATCACGTTACCGACTGCTGGTAAGGAAGGAATGAATGATCATATGGTAAAAGTGGCTTAGAACCCTTATAGCCTATACTACTAATATAATCTTATACTATTTTTTTTTCAACAGGTTAATTTATTATTAAACTTTTATTCTACTTTTTGAATAAAGATTGCAACATTATAACTTTTATTTTACAGATTCAAAAACCAAATTTCAACCTATATTATAACGAGTTTGTCAACAACTCGTTATGTCTCTCTCTCCACATTAATTATATAATAATAAAATATGTACTATAACGAATTTAATTCATTCGTTATGTCTCTCTCCCCACGCATGCATATACATAATTCATATACTTATACTATATTTGGATTCACATTATATTATACAGCAGCCTGCAGCAGCCGACAACGTCAAAGTATAAGGTAAGAGAGAGAGCGCGGCATGTATATTAACGAGCCTATAAGCAGGGAGAGTCGCGTCCGCGTGTATGCGTGTGGTCGCGCTGCCGAAAAGCGCGATGAAAGAGTGGGGACGCCTCCCGCGGTAATTGACTGGCGGACGTAACACGGGCGACACGTGTTTGAACGCGCGCTAAAGAGTTTGCCTTTTTTTTGCGGATCCGGACTTTCGATTGGGCTTAGCCGTGCCTCCTTGTATTATTAGGCATTGACGCCCCTTTTGTTTATTGGCACGGCCCCGTCATCGCAGAGAGAGAGAGAGAGAGAGAGAGAGAGAGAGAGCGATGAGGAAAAGTCCCTTATTTTTATTTTATTTTATTATTTATTTGAATAAACTATTTATCCATCTATAACTTGTACCTTAATTACGAGAGAGACCTAAGGTTCGAGTTGGTACCGTGCTACCAACGTCTGGGGGTGGGGGATATAACGAGTTTGTCAACAACTCGTTATGTCTCTCTCTCCACATTAATTATATAACAATAAAATATGTACATATTCATGTATCTACTTTTATATTATACTACTAGCAGCCGCAGTGGACGACAGTAGCTGAACTAAGGTAAGAGAGAGAACGCTAGCAGAGAGAGAGACCGCGTAGGTTGGTAGGACTGGCGAGCCGGGGTGCCGCGAAAGAGAGTTGCCGCTTGAGAAAAGAGGCAATTAGCTGACGCCTCTCGAATTGGTGACACGCGTGCGACTGCGTTAGAAATTCATGGCTTGGCTGTGCCATTGACGACTAGATTCGTTTTGTGATTTTGCGTCGCCTCGTGGCTAATTTGAGTGATAGATCGAGTGCTAAATTGAGTGCTACCAGTTGCTGCGTGTATCGGCGTTCGATAGACCGAACTTTGATTGTCGAGCCTCGTGGCTAATCTCACCGACAGCGGCAGCTGATGTAAGTACCACTCGTTCTTTGCGTCTCTCTCGCATTATCCGCTTTGCTTCTCTCTCTGCACCGCCCTGTACAAATACACGTAGAATATATATTTCTATTACACCTATCGCCTCTTTCACTCTGCGCCTTCTATCATTCCTTTCGTTTCCTACACCTTCGCGATTTCAGCTACGCGACCTACGACGCTCTCAGCGGGCCGTTGCCACCCGGCGAATCCATCGGCAGTCTGTGCTACTGGGCCGGTCGTGCAAATCCGTTGCACGAGCTCGCTCCGTCATCTATTACGTACCTCTCGGTTATTAACTACTGTAGCGGACTAAATCCCCGTTACAATTTGGCGCCCAAACGTTCTGGTGCTGGCGACGTAGCGAAAATCGCACCGAGAGAAATTTTTCCGTAGGCGTTCTTACAAGGACAAAGAGTGCGCGATCTCTCACGGCATGTTGTTGACAAACACGAGCCGCACGGCGAGCCACATGTGCGACGCTAGCGAACAAGTATAAACTCGTCGAGCGATACACCGATATTCTAAGCAAAGGAGAACTATAGATTTTATTCGAATGTTCGAAGTTGGAAAATCATATTTATTTTCAAGGTTGCCACGCTGGCCGTATACACAAAAACTGTACATTTCAAATGCTATATGCGTGATTCGAAATCACAGTAAATACTGCGTGGCTAAGCCTTATATAATCAATATTTTATACAATTTTTTTTATGATTTCAATAAATATTGATTAATCTATAATTTGTTCCGATATTCTCTTTTGAGTAGTTTAGTTGGCGAGGCGTTGGCTAATTCAACTCTGCGTCCAATTGCAACGCATAATTAAAATAATAATATTTAAACAATAATTAAACTAATTTTAATTATAATTATTGTTAATAATAAATTTTTTTTTTTCTTATTTTCTCTTCTCTCTCTCACATCCGTAACACTCTGGCTTATGCGTTACGTTGCTAATACCAGCACAAGCCCGATATTTATTTCAAATATCTCATCAATTTTTTTTCCCGATATTATTGTTTTACTGTTTTACATTCTTTTCTCTTATTATCCATTATAGATTCCGCATTTTGACGTGAATATGAAATATTTTTTTTTATACCAATTGTAATGATTGC